TGCGCAGTGATGACTTCGAGTGTTAAATTATGCTGTATTATAAGAAAGGTGTATTAGAATTTTAAAATAATTGTGAATTAATCGATAGAAGCATCGATTATTGCTTAAAAGTACGGAATATACTTTCGGAGTACCTTCCTCTTCGAAATTCACTTGCAGACTGACCCATTGTTCTCTAAAACAAAACTTTGATTAGAAAGTTGTTTATGATTTTTCTTATGTTGATTATTTCTGCAACGGTAATTAAAATTCTAATAAAGAAAATTCAATATTATAACGTACAGATTTTATTATTTTATTTATTCTAATGTAATTAATTTATTGTTAATGCACGGTGATGACTTCGAGGGTACAATTGCCTTGTAATATAAGTAAAGTGTATTAGAATATTAAAATAATTGTTAATTAATCGAAAAGAATTTGTATTGTTGTTTAGAAGCATTGTGTATATGTTAGGTGGACCGTCTTCCTCGAAATTTCCCTTCAGACTGAGTCATTATTCTCTAAAACAAAACATTAATTAGAAAGTTGTTTATATGACTTTGTTTTATGTCGAGCATTTGTGCAACGGTAATAATAATTCTAATAAAGAAAATTCAATATTATAACGTACAGATTTTATTATTTTAGTCATTGTATTGGAATTAATTTATCACACCTGCGCAGTGATGACTTCGAGAGTAAAATTATGCTGTAATATAAGAAGAGTGTTTTAGAATATTAAAATAATTGGTAATTAATCGATAGAAGTATCGATTATTGTTTAAAAGTACGAAATATATTTTCGGAGTACCTTCCTCTTCGAAATTCACTTATAGACTGACCCATTGTTCTCTATAACAAAACATTAATTAGAAAGTTGTTTATATGACTTTGTTTTATTTCGAGCATGTGTGCAACGGTAATAATAATTCTAATAAAGAAAATTCAATATTTTAATTTGTATTTATTAATATATACTGTTATGCAAGTAGTGACACTTGTTTAATTGATATTAACTTAGTTTTTATAATTATAATATAAATCAAGAACACTATTAAATAAATAGTTGAATACTTTGATACATTTAATAAATATTTAATAACTTTTATTTTTAATTAAGTCAATTCTTATAGATTATTATATATTCTTTTTATATTTAACATTTATTCTTTATGATAACATATTTTTTTATGTTTTTATTTTATTATACAATAATATAACTATATTACGTATACCATAAAAGAATACTGTGTGTGTTTTTATGAATATGTCTATTCATATGAATAGATTCTTTGATAGGATTGTACCGTCATCGCATTATGTAGAGGGTTTCTCTAGAGTAAAGGTAATATTAGACTGAATTTTATTTTATGATTTTTATTTAAAGGATGCGACTTGCTTTTCTTAGTTGTACACTTCTCAACGGCTACGTACCGACTAGTAACTACTTCTTGTAAGCCTGGTTCCCTAGCCTTCTAGTAACCCTAGAGGGCGCGACCTTCTGTCGTACCGCTACAATTAAGTAACTACTATCGCCCACTAGTGGTCACACTGGTAACTAATATGTATTTGGTTAGGAAAAGTATGTACGTACTTCTGTATTCTTTGCAATAAGTTTAGATCTGTTAACGATCGAGCGTGAAATATTGTATAACTTTACTTTTCCTCCATAGATGGAGCCAGATTCGACTTTTAAAAATGTCTGCCTTAACGTTACTGCGCCGTGTTGTCGGTGAACAAATATTTAATTCTTTTGCTAAATCGACACCGATCTCCTGTCAATTACAATCTAAAAGAAATCGTTGGAAATTAGTTAAACTTCCAGAACCAGATGATCCAAGAACGTATTTTAAAAGAATCGTACATTACACAGATGAGTATACGATTGAACCATTAAAGGTTACAAATTTAGGTGGCAGAGATCCTGTAACAGGTAAATAAATATCTTTTTAGTTTTATCTTTAATTTATAGAAGGAAACAAATTTATATACAGATAATTATATGTTGTTATCAGTTTTGTTAGTATTATTTTATTATGTTATTAAATAAAATTGAACAATTATTTGTGACATCTATCTGTAATATATATGGTACTAAAATTTTGAAGTCTACGTTTCTTCATTAAAACTTTTAATAAAATTATTATTTTCAATGAAATATTTTCTAACATATGAAATTTTTGTCTCATATTACAGGAAGAGTAGTAGTGAAAGGTCTCGGTGGTGGTATAAAACATAAATATCATTGGATTAAATGGACAAGAGATGGTCCTAGTGATTTAAACGAGAAACCTAAAGAGGAAAGAGTTCTTGAAGTTTTTAAGGATGGTTGCAGGACGTCTTTTGTTGCACTTGTTGGTTCTGGTGATGAATTGAAATACATTTTAGCTACAGAAAATATGAAACCTGGTGATATAATAAGAACACACAGGGGTATTCCACGTAATCCTGTAAGAGCAAATGAAGGGGATGCTTATCCTTTAGGTGCTTTACCAATTGGCACCAATGTATGTTGCGTTGAACGAAATCCTGGATCAGGATCAAAATATATACACTCGGCTGGAACCACAGGTAAAATAATTCAAGCTGATGGTCCAGATAGGATGGTTGTTCAAGTACCTAGCAAGAGAAAGTTTAGTTTTGATAGTAGATGTATGGCAGTGGTAGGACGTTTGTCAAATATCTTGCACGGTTCTACGCCAATTGGTAGCGCTCAAAAAAATCGCGAACTTGGTAATCGTCCAAGTAGTGGTCTTTGGCAACGAAAAACTGGAAGATTTGGAAGGAAGATAAAACCACCGAAAAAAGTTCAAAAGGTTGATGATAAAGGTAGGATTGTTCCAACTAAACCGATTGTTTGTAATTTACATGGTCTTAGTTAAATCACGTTATATTTATATTAACCTTATGATAAAAAAAAATATACATATATGTATAATATAAGCATATATATATATATAAGCATATAAATATATACATGCAAGTAATAAAAAGTATTCTTTATGATTTATCACAATGATTGTTTTATTGTCTTCATTAGTTTTCTTTTTTATTTTTTTCTAATGCGAATATTTGAGATCAATGGTATATTTGATACTTAATATTTAAACATTCAATTATATTAACAACAGCCTAATTTATAAATGCAAATAGAAATTTGTATAAAATTCATCTATATCAAGAAATAATGAATTATTAATCTATCCAATCTACACTGATTAAATTAATACATTGTTTTTTTTTTCATTATTAGGAACACAATTCGATGAATTTCTAATTCCAGACATTCTCGTTTATAAGCCTTTGTTATAATAAACCGTTTTAATATCAGGATCTTTAGATCTTATTTGTTTTTGCACATCAGGTTCCAATTTGTCGACGCTTATCGGTACTCGTTGAACAAAAAGAGCACAGCATAGTGGCGTAGCAAATGTTAAACAAATTCCACATATAATAACTTGAATCGGTGCTGAAGCCCATTTAGCATTTTTCAATAGATTACGTTTTTCTATGTAATTCATTAGGATCGGTGAGAGTACTGTAACAAAGATAATATAATTCTCTTATCATCTATCAAATCGTTCCTTTTTCAAAATAATTATACATAGACGATATATTTTGTAATTGTATGTTATCTTACTGAATAATATATAATAAATAAATAAAAAAAGGTAATAGAACAAGATGAATATATTATTCAATAAAATAGCACAAAAATAGCACGAACTATCATCGTTCATGTAAAACTTCTTAAAAAGAAAAACAATATAATATTAAGAAATATTTATAAACGATTTATAAATTATTATCTGATTTAAATACTACGCGTTTTAAATTACTATTGTGTTCAATCTTACGATTTAGATAGTAAATAATATTTATCTATTATCGTACCCATGCTAGGAGAAGCCATTAGAATACGCGATAACGTGACTGTAGCGATGGCCCTTTGAGCCGCTGATTTGCTCTTGCCGACCTCTTTGCCGGATTCGTTTTGTAACTCAATACCATTTTTAAGTTCAGTAATCCTCATTAATGGAATGTTAACGCAATTGGCGGCAGCCACAGCTGCTAATGGTACAAGACGTCCGGCCAAGGCCGGTCCACTTCGTGCCAGATTATTTAATGTTAGGGCTGTTATCACTGCTCCTCCAGTAGCACCGATGTAACTTTGAATTAATGTTTCTTTTGGTATTGGACTTTTACCACTGCGATTCGTATAATTTACTATAGCGTTGAACGATTGATTACACCATTGCCAAAATATTACTGCCGGTGTTGATCTATCAAATAAACAAAACAATTATTTCTTTTCATCATTAAATAGAGATACCAAAAAAAAAGAAAATAACATCGAGTGTTGATCTAACAACGAGACAAATATTTTTTATCGTTTATCACGATGCGGTATATTCGATAACGTCACTCAATTTATTTCATTCTTCTCTTAATATATATATATATATATATATTATTCATATGACTTCATTCGTAATGAAGTCAGAACGGAAAGAAGGAGAACAGGTCAAAAGTCGTCAACGAATCTTATCGTATGTTTCGAATTCTCGCGTTATTGACTAAATCAATCTAACAATAAGTATTAAATGTCTTCTATATATTCTCTAAACAGTTTCTCGTATGTTCCTTGTTCGTATACATACTTGTAAAACGTCATCATCAAACCGGTTATGGTCATGTTCATCGGCACTTGAGCACTCATGCGACCAATCAAAAGCATCTTTTCTCCAGTATCTGGATGATAAGCACTGTCGAATAAATATTTTTGTTCCCATAATTCTTCCTCGGTTATACCTAATTCCGTTAGAGAATCACCTTTCCTATAATTATACAAGATAAATATTAATATCACACACACACACACACACACACAGATATATATATATATATATATATATATATATTGTATAACGTAAACAAGCAGATTGAGTAATATCGAATAACGATACAAATCGTTAAATTCAAAAATTCATTTGAAATTGTTTAATAGATTGAGAGAGGGTAGGTAGAGAGGGAGGGGGAAGGGGGGAAGGTTGGAGAACAAAAAAGAAAAGAAAGAAAAACAATAACTACCTGTATCTCGTAACGATGTCTTTAGCACGTTCGAGGGATTTGTTCGATGCAAAAATATTTAATGGATTTGTAACTGAAAGAAAGTGCAGTGCTCTACCACGATAAGTGCTCTGATCCCAATAAGGTTTTTCAATGTCGATTCTCTTTTCTTCAAGCATTTTGAAATCATACTCTCCTTCAATCATCTCAATTATTAAATGAATAAAATGACTACCTTAATTAACGAGTTTACCTACGACAGGTAAAAGATGATATGTGTTCTTTTCTTATATATATATATACCTTGACGTATTTTTGTGTTGCACGTTAAAGTTGATCATAAAATCAATTATTATGATATACTTTTAAGAGTTATCACACTAAACGTACGCGAAGTCTACCACCGACTGAGAAACATTTCTCGTCCTGTGTTGCCTTCCTTCCTTCCTTACATTTTTTTTCTTTCTGTCTTCCTTCCTTCATTCCATTCCTTTTCCAAACCCCGTTCTCTTCTTCTCCTTATCCCACTCTCGATTACTATAACCCGACCCATTCGTTGTTCCCTCTCTCTTTCTCTCTCTCTCTCTCTCTTTCTCTCTCCCTCTCTTTGGAGTCTGGTTTTCCTCATCGATAAGTTTTGAACGCGTGCGCAAATCACATCGTACATAACACACTTGAAAAGCGGCCGCGTTTGGTCGCCATTACGCGAGATGGAAGTGTTTTTATTGTTTGTTGTTAGAGATTGTTAATAAATTTCGATTATAAATCTATCGAATCCTTTTGTTCCCTTTTACTCAATCTCTTTTTGAATATATTTGTCTATTGTTTTTAATAATAATATGACGTTTTATTATTTTATCTGCAGCTAATTGCAAGCTTTGAAGATGTTTTATACTTTTGGACTGATATTGGTTTTAGTAAAATGTACAAAAAAAAATAGGCTTTTAAGTATACGACGATGAAATAATGTTAAATATACTAAATACATTAAGTATTTTGTTTATAAATAAAATTAACACTAAATAAAATCTAATTGAGATTTACATTAATTAGATTTTTTTTATTGTTGTTAAAGAATCCTTGAAATATTTCATCGTAGTTACAAATTATTCATTTAAATTAAATATAAAATTGGTAAATCTTGTGTGTTTTTTTTTTATTTATTTATTTATTTGATAAAATCATTTACACACACACACACAGTGTTTTAACTTTTTATTTATTATTATTTTTTKTTTTTTAATTTTTACTCCTTAGTATTAGATACAAATAAAAAAGCACAACTCGTCAAACGTACTTGTGATTTTCGAAAGGGGAACGAGAATGGAAAAAACAAGACAATTTGTGTGTATGAAAGTATCAACTTACTTAGAATTAACTGTATGTGTTAAAATACAACTTGTCTGACTAAAGAAAGACTAAGGAAAGGCTTTCAAACGAACTTTCCACTTACAATGTTGGTATATGATTTACACCTCTTAACACGGCTTGACATTGAATTGTAAATGTTTTTTGTTTTTTTTTTGTTTTTTTTTTTTTTTTCATCTGTTTTAACCGTTTAATTTATACAGCATTTATACAAGTCATGAGCCTTGACAGCAAAACTTTTTTTCCCCAAATAATAATAATATTACAGAATATACTGTATAATATTATCTTTCTGATGAACGACAAACCATTGGTTAATATTTGTGCATGGTAAATGTGAGAATATTCAATAAAATGAACTATGCACTCTAAAGACACGACCTTCTTTAGAAAATACGGTTAAGAGATTAACCAATGAATGAATGAATGAACGGTTTATGTTAATTTAATATATTGAAATTGTATTTTCTATACAAACATAATTATTATTCATGATTATTCAATGAAAGATAATATTATCATATTTTAACGAGGGTAAAATGTTTACAATAATTTCAAGTTAAAGTAAGAAATCATTTTCTAACGGGGAATTTAATATTTGTTGTTGTTGTTGCAATTAAATAGATGGGTACACATACACACACACATCGAACGAATAATGAACAAAAACATATCCTAAATTGTCTGTGTCCCAAATAATAATAATAATAATAATAATAAGTTAGATATTTTCCAAGCTGAAAAATCGTATGATCCACTTATTCTCATTCCTATTACAGCTAACTCGTATAACTTTCACCGAAATAGCTGCGATTCGCATTACGATCAATTCGTTTCTTTCGTTAGGCTGATAGTTCAGTTCTTTTGTTTTTGTTTTATTATTTTTTATTTTTTTTCTATGCATAATTATACAGCAGAAAGATGACATTAACGTTGGTCGGTCGAGAAAGAATCACGTTTTATTTCAAAGTAAAAACGTGTTTTGTGCCTACTCGTTGTCGTCCAAATTTTACGTTTTACCATCATCTTGTTGTTTAATAATTACGATCGACAGAAGAAATATATATGTTTACGTTCTACCGAGTAGATATAGTATTTGATTTTTTTTTAATATAAATAGAGAAAGATTATTGAAACCTTTTTTTTTTTTACAATGCAGAAAATCCAAGTAGCCCATATTTATATTTATCTTTCTTAGAGTAATAAATCTGTCGATGATTTGTTAGAAAAATGTGTGTTACAAGTTTTTAAAATTTGTTAGTATCGAGGATTATTTGTTGTACACATCTTCGAATTTCTAAATAAATATAAATTGTAAATATACAAAACTGAATAAAACATCAATTGTAAATGTGTTGTTGAAAGTTGACAATTTGTTTAAACATTATAATTATATTACATATTTTATGTTTTAATCTTTTAAAGTGCACACTTGATAAAAGTTAGTTAAAGTACACCATTGTGGGTGTTTGACACCCCAACGTGTTTGAACGAGTCTCCTGAAGCCGCTGCTATTTAATATTTAGACTTAGCAATTTTTTTCAAAGTAGTTTGATACATCTTTATTAAAATAGAATAGGTTTTATACCCATCTAAATTAACACTAGATAGCACTAGAAAACAAATAACCCATTTTTTCGAATTCAGTACAGTTTTCGAGAGATCCAAAATTTGTTGGGGTATCAAACACCCCATGTGCACTTTAAGGGTTAAATTCATTACTGTAATAAAAAAGAATTGGGTAACGTTGAGAACGTGTGAAACTTCGTGTTTAACTACAATAATTAAAAGTAATAAAATAGTAGAATTATAAACGCAAAATTATATTGATTAATTATCAGATCATTTTTAATTTCATTATTTTCAAAAATTGAAACAATAATAAAATAATTCACTGTAATCCTTTCAGAGAGAGAGTGTTGGTAGAAGTTAGCGTGTTAGAAATACAATCGAAAATAGGTTCACGTTTTTGATTTATCTGATTGTTTATAATAGGTCGAATGAAAAAAAAGACAAAATAAAACATTGCCATAGATAAGACATTTTTAAAACAAGAAGAAGAATGACTTTCACGAAGCACGACGATAAACTATGCTATTTCTTTTTTCTATCTTTATTTTTTTTTTTTTTTTTTAATGCTTATAGTATGTGGACATTGGCATTCTGTACGATGATCTAGACTAGCAACGGAATGCGTGTTGTGAGAGGTTCAACGCGAAAAGAATGAGAGACTAGGAGACACTTTGCACGAGATATAAACGTTTTTATTAGCTAGGTGGGTATTCTTTAAACGTTAGCAATGCACAACCCATCATCCCAGTTTAAACTAGGTATTACCCGGATGTTGATATTAGTTGAAGATCTAACGCGACATTTAAGTGTGTTTGAAAGCTTCCCGAAGGTTAGTAAACAACAAAAAATCCCCCTTTCGAATTTATCTCGTAATAATTATCTTTAGAGAGGAAAATGGGTGTTCTCGATATGATTTTATAAGACAGTTCTTCATTCGAGATTTATCTTTTTCATTATCATCGATCTTCATTTTGATTATTATGATGATAGTAAAAATTGATCGATACAAAATATGATTTAAGTTTAGGATTAAACGTATTTTATCTCAATCTCTGTCATTTTGATTCTTTGATATATGTTCCTGTTTTTTTTTTTTTTTTTTTTTTTTTGTTTTGTTTATTCTAGTTCTTTACATTATCTTTTACAAACAACGATTATTATTACATCATTAGAAAAAAAAAGATGGATTAATAATTACGGTACCGCGTTCTTTCTCGTAATTGTCTTGTTAGAGTAGTACGTCTTTATTTCTATCGTAACAGGTGAAAAGATAATTCTAAGTGAACGAGTTCGTAGATCTTTAACGAGGTAAGTGGTAATATTTATAGATAAATAGAAGCTTTTTAATTAGCGGTTTGTTAATTATTAAATCAAGTATTTTTATTTTCAAATGTAACGTTTTAAATAGATATATACAAGATTCAAGAAGATCAGGTTTAGATAATAATTATTACGTATTCATTATTTATTATATTAATCTAAGATCGTTAAAATGATGCTTCGATACATTTTTAGGAATATTTTTTTGATTTTCTTTTTTTTTCTTTTGGTCTGAATTTTCACTGATTTCTCTTTCAAGAATTTAAAAAACGTTTTTTTTTTATTATTACAATCGTGAAATATTTAATATCGATAATTTTTTCTTTTTTCGTCGAATTTAAATTGGAACACACATAACAGTTATATTTTATATATATATATATGTATGTGTATTTTATGACAATGAAAAAGACAACATTAATGTCACGACGATTTATCTGGGTCAACGAAAAAAGAAAAAAAAAGATATAAGCAGGTTGTATCATTTACTACAGGTATGTATGAATATTATATATATGTATATGTGTATTATTGTACGTTTTAAGAATTAAGCCTGCCAGGCACAATTCGATCGGTCATTTTATGTTTTTTTTTTGATCTCGTCATTATAAAACTTTAAAAAACAAATTTGCATATCAAATTATCCATTTTGTGTTTCTTTATACATATATATATATATATATATATATATATGTTTTTCTTGTTAGGGTTATTGCCAATAACAACTCATTTTTAATGAATTCGATCAGTTATGCGAGATTTTTATATTAATTTTTCAAGAAATATATTTCATAAGAAACGATACGTCTTATTAACGATTTATCATTTTATGTTAATCTATTTTGATTTTTTTTTTATAAAATATACATTCATCTTATTTATTAAAAGAGAATAATTGTGTGTGTGTGTGAGTCTGTGTGTGAAAGATTTAACACAATTTAGTTGTAGTTTCATTTTTTCATTTTAATAATTCATCAAATTTGGATTTATTTAACATTCTAATTATATTATTTATACGTTTAATTAAAAATACAAATATTTGGAAACGAATTGAATAAAATAGGACAATTACGGAACATTTAACACGATTTAGTTGTAGTTTCATTTTTTTATTTCAATAATTCATAAAATTTGGATTTATTTAACATTCTAATTATATTATTTATTCGTTTAATTAAAAATACAAATTTTTGGAAATTTCTCATGATCAAATAAGCACACTTTATTAATATTCCTGTTACTTTATTTATAATTATCATCCGTTCTATTTTATTTTCATGAGAAATTTCTTTTTTATTTTTTTTGAATAATCGGATATGGATTGTTAACTCTTAAAATATTCTTCAAAAAATGAGTAAATTCGTCTAGCAATGAGGTAGTTTGAAAATTGTTCTTAATTTTATTCTTGTTTTTTTTTTTTCTTTTTTTCTTTTTTTTTATTTCAAATCTCTCGAGACAAACTTGGTCGAGTATTGTAATTCGATAACAGCAAAGAAAACAGTCGCTTTATTTATTAATATTTGTTGAAGACGGAAATAAAATGAACGTACTACGTTCTACGTAGAACATTAACTATACTTATAATAAAACAGGTTTTTGAAATGTAACAAAAAAAAAAAAGCAAAGTATATGTAGTAGACATAAGTATATGTAGTAGACTATACAAGATGTTATTAAAACAAAAACAAAAACAAATTGAACTACAAAAGTGTGACTTACGTCTGAATGATCTTTGAGAGAATATTGTGCAAACCAGTCTTCTCTCTCTTTCTCTCTCTTTCTCTCTCTTTTTAAAAAACTTGATTACTAATTACCGATCTATATATTTCCAATATCTTACGTGATAATTCCATTTCTATTCGTTTACCTTAACATCAAATGTGCATTCTATTAAACAATTAATAACACGTTTAGGTGGGTCATCTGACGTTGAATCAGATTCGATTTCACATTTATTTTTATTATTTTTTTTTTTGAAAAGGGGATTTAATCTCGACAATATTATTATCTCTTAAAGATAACAATGGTTGGGTTGGTGGTAATTGTTTTTCGTGTAATTGCATCCGGGAGAACGTTCGTGAAATACTCGGACAAGAATAATCAAAAAAAAAAAAAGAAAAAAATAGAAAAGAAAAGAAACATTTTTCAAATGGTAGTTAATTTCATAAAATGGAACACAGTGGCCTGTCTGGTGGTGCCTCATGTGTAAGTAGTAGAAATATATTTGTGAGACAAGTTCGTATACGGTAAATGATTTGACAACGTTTATATACTCCTTTTTTTTTTTTTCTTGCATTTCATTCTTTATGATGAATTCTGATTATTCCTGGCGTTGGTAATCGTTTGTGGAGGGTGGGAGGGAGGTGGGGGGACTCCCTTCGGTGGTCGGCACAGACAATGCTTACCGTTATCCTGAAATTTTCATTCTTTTTAACAAAATATCTTTCTTCCTCGTTCTCGCGTAACACTTTGGCTTTTGTTTCGATTATCCGCAAAATAAATTTACAATCTTATTAAATAAATAATGAGAGAGAGAGAGAGAGAGAGAGAGATATTATCTGAAATAAAAAAAACGAAATATATTTTAACAATTTATATATTTTATATATTTTTTTTTGTTCAAGATAATATACACATAGATTAGACAAAAGATTATTTATTTATTAATTTTTTTTTGAATCGTGTTTAAATTTTTTAGTAATAAAATGGTACAACTTTTGCGATAAATTTTCGTTCGGATTTTGATAAAAAAATTTGAAAACACCAAAAAAGAAAAAAGAATTCAATTAGGGGTTTTTTTTTTGAAGGATAAATCAATAAAATCGGTTAAACAAGGTTGACATCAATCGACGTACTTCTTACTACCCATGGCCTGGCTGGTTAGCTGGCTGACTGGCTGGTTAGCTGACTGACTGGCTGCATCCATGTATCCGAGCTATGGCACACCTAGAGGATGCAATGACGACTACTGCATCTCACAGTGCAATCTTGGTTAAGAGAAACATTATCTAAGTCGTGGACCGTTACCCCCACCGACCTAAATGCTCGACGTATAAATGGTCAAGACACCTTCTAAGCACTGTCAGTAAACTTGTGCGCTTTATCACTCGTGTTCTGCTTCATCTCTAAGATACCAATATAAATATAAATATAAATATATATATATATATATATATATATATATATATCCATCGAATTGAATTGTAATAGCTAGCTACCGAGAAGGGTTTCTAGATTGAAGTTATATTTTGACAAAGTATTTTATTAACAATCAAATCATAATAATAATTAAATGATAACATGAAAGTGGAATTAATAAGTAATTAGCTATTAACGATGATGACGAAGATGATGATTATGAGAAACGATTTTGTGTCGTGTGTGTTGTTCGATCAAGGTAACAGTTGATCGTGATTCCTTTTGTTTTTTTTTTTATTTTTTTTTTTTTTGTAGACTTTGCTAATGAACAATACTTAATCGATATAACGATGACGATGATAAGAGACAATATAAGAAGAATCGATTGTTATTGTTCCTTTTGTTGTTCAACATTGTTAACTAGACCTCTTTCGATAATATTCCTTATTCTATTATTCGTGGAAATCAGTGTAGCTACTTATCGTAACTCGTCTAACACGTTTTTGGAAAGATGTCGGTTAGATTGTACGATCCAACAGGACTTTGCTAGTTGTGGAAAATATAAAGCTGCAAGATGGTTGAACGAATTTGTTAAAGAGAAGGTAATTAAATAGGAAGTGATATATAAATAAAATATGATTGATATCATACTTTTAATAATAATATAACACGAGACAATTTATAATAAATATACGGGTTAATCTCTTCACTATCTATCAGTAACGATTACGAAACTTTATTACAGAAACTAACAATTATGGTAATCTCGGTTTTCTAACGTAACTGCAACGTGTTCTCTTACCTTTCTTCTCACTTTCCTTCCGTCAATGGCAATGTCGCGATGCGTTAACCTTTTCTATAAAAGTAAAACGATTTTCTATACGATTCATTATACTTTCAGTCTTTAAACACCCTTTTGCATTACGAATTACATTTTCATTTTTATCCTTAGCAATTGTCAATTCAATATCACTATTAAAAATGTGTTTTATTTGTAATTTATTGTAACTAAAACAAATATGACAATGTAATTATATATTTAATTTAGACAATTGTTTTATATTTGTTTGTAATTTTTAAATGTACGATATCTTTCGAGATATAGAAAAAAATTGATGTAGTAACAGTGCAAAAGGGTTAAAGATATTTTCTTATTTTTTTTTTTCTTTCCAATTATTATTATTTAATTAAAGAAGTTATACAATTACCGAATCACAATTTATCTGATCGAGAATAATATGAATTATTTTCTACGATATATTATTAGGAGTTCACTTATGGACCATTTCGGATAATAAGAATATCATCGATGCAACAGGAATCACTTTTGCCGAAATTACCTCGTTCTAGGATTATCAAAAGAAGCGTATTGGATACGCTTGATTTTCTTCGCGACAATGTCAATGATTTATTGACAAAACGAGCTATCGTATATACAGTTGACAATCCTACCGGTGGCAGAAGTTTTACAAGTGGACCGATGATAATGGACGAGGATGAGTTGCGTGAATTGCAAGGAAGAAAAGAAACTCAGGGTAAGATAAATCCCCTACTCTCTCCTCTCCTCAACCAAAAAACAAAAAAAAATTAACATTTAAATCATAATAATACTTTTATCAATTTAACAAATCTTTAACACATCTGTCCAATTGAATTTGACGTGTTACAAATTGTCAAAATTGTTTTTATAGTTGGATCATTTTAAAATCTGATTGTTCGTTCGTTCGTTCATTCGTTTGTTCATTCGTTCGTTAGTTCGAATAATAGATCCGGAATAGCGGAATTTTTGCTAGCTACTTTGCCGTCTTACCCGGTAAAATACCAAGGTTGTTGTTTTACCGCGAGAGTCACTGAACTGTACATTTTGTGTAATAATACTTTAGATATTGAACTGGTCCCCTTATTCCGTTTGGATTAATTAATATAATTATTCGAATCGTTCAACGTTCTTTTGATTTTCATGAAGACGTTCTAGTTGTTGTTGTTGTTGTTGTTGTAGTTGTAATAAACAGCTCTCGATTTTAATATCTTTAACAATTTTTTTTTAAATTTATTTGTTTTTCAGGAGACTGGCGTATCTTTAAGAAGAAAAAATCAATGATATTACCTCTGTTAATATTATTGAATCTTTTCAAATTAAAATTATTGTTATTACCAATATTTTTGGGCGTACATTTCATCAAGAAGCTTTTAGTTTTGGGTTCTTTAATAGCTCCATCTATTTTGGCACATCTTAAAGTTTGCAAAGTTCAACCACATCCTCCTACGTATCCTTATCATACTTGGGCAACTGCTGCTGAAGCACCTGTTGATTATCCTACCGGTAATTATTATTTTGTTTTTATCCCTACAACGTTATACAATTTTCATTGAATAACATTTAAAAAATATACTCGTAGAATTTAACGAGAGTAACATTCTTTAAGATATATCCAATAAAAAAAAGAAACTTAGCTTACTTTTAACAATCATTGGAAGGTGTAAAAACTTAAAAAGGTGTCTATGCCGACTAGCATACTTCAAATAGTTTTCTATACAATCCTTTCAAGCACGTAATTACATTTCTTTTCTATTACCTCGCTCGTCGAGTACTATCCTTTTTATTGTTTTCCGTACTATTATGAAATCGTAACAATAACAATTAATTCAATCATAATAATTAATAATAACTATGAAATTGACGATGGGTATTATTAAAACAACCATAACGTAATTTCTCGGTGCATCATATACGGATAATAAATTTGCTTGTTTTTTTTTTCTTTTTTTTGCTTAAATATTTGTTCTTATTAGACAATACAAATCCATCGAGTACATCTGGAACGTAACGTTACTGCACTTTTTCTATTTTTTTGTTGTTTTTGTTGTTGTTGTTGTTTATTTGAAAACTTTGATAACGTGCTGACTGTGCATCGTTGTTTGATCAAATAAAATCGAAATTTACGGTAAACTCTATTTACAGAACTTGTTTTGTTCTTTGCATAAGTCTTTGATTATACATTCGACGTGCTAAAATAGGCATGAGAAAAAAAACTGTTAACATACCGGTGCTTAAAGTAGGTGCAAATCTTCATCTACGATGACACATCAATCAGCTACCTAACGTAGCTTGTTTTTTTAAATGGTAAACGCTTTCTAGTTGAAGATTACCTTATGACACGAATTCATTTTGTCAGGAAATTTTTCTTTTACTCCAAAAATGGTGCTGGTGCTTGTGGTGGTGGTGGTGGTGGTGGTGATGGTGGGAGAGACATTCGATACGAATAAAAGGTCAAACTATCGATTGAACTTGCTATACCCATGAACATTTTTTAAGTTTCTTAATAAACACATGTTTCTAATCATACGTTGGTTGCGTGTTTTTTTTTTTTTTTTTTCATTTTTTTTAGGATACGGTCACGATGAAACTGCTTGGGCTCATAGAAATGATATTCAAGGTCATCTCGCATATCCAGCAGCCTATCCAGGATATCGTAATCCTTATGGTTGAACGTTTGAACAACGGGACATATTGGAATTTTTTTAAAATAATATATATATATATATATATATATATATATATAGATAAAAATCTTACATCGAAGATAAGAGATTCACCATAAGATTAAACAACAACCTTTGATTATCTACTTATCGAAACTTGATTTCAATCTATATATATATTTATTTTTTGATACATACATTATTGTACAATTTATATTAAAATATTTTATTTATTTTATTTATTTCACGTCGTTTTTTTCTTTCTTTTTTTGTTTTGTCAAATCCACCATATAAAATCGTTCGTTCCTTTCTATCGATTCTCTCGATACATACAATATAAGAATGTATTAATAAAAACCTAGAAAAATAATATATTAAACGATTACTCATCATCGTCATCGAAAATTCCGTTTTTTATTTTGGGTTCTTTTTTTTTTTTTTTTTTTCCTGTAAACGGGTCAACGTGACGATGATACGTAAAAACGTAACTTTCACGGAATAGTACCGTTACCGATCGGACTTGCAGATTCCATGGATTTCTGTGAAAATCTGACGGGAAAGGCATATTATACACCAAAAAAAAAAATAATACATATATATATATATATTTGATGTTTCCCCCCTCCCCCTCCCCCCCGATTATTACAATAGTTTGATAAAAGATGATTAGAAACATATCAATGATCATCTGCAACTAAGAAGAAAATAAAAAAATAAAAAAATATGAAACGCATAGAAAAGTGTCGTTGAAATTCATTTTGAGGTCGATGGTCAAGGTCGAACATGTGAGCAAGAAGAAGAGAAGGAGAAGGGAAAGAGGAGGAAAAGGAGAAGGAGGAGAAGGAGGAGGAGGTGGTACGTTGGCCCCTTGGTTACTGACCGACTGACTGACCTACTGACAGATTTGGATATAGGCCCAATACTCAAAACCCACCCTACCTCCTCCCCCTTCCCACATGACACCTTCCTCCTTCCTTTCTTCACTTCTTCCTCAGTCCCTCATGATCTTTCTCTTATATATTCTTTCAAGTTGTTTTTCTACTTCTTTACTTTTCTACCACTAATACTACCATCATCACTAACACACACGATCAGCACCTGTATTCACCTTTCGTCTTGATAAACTCGCTCGAGCGAACGATTCGTTTTAAAGCACACGTGAACGAATATCATACTCACGGTCGATCGAAAAACCGTTATCATCTTCGTGTGTGTGTCCCCCCCCTCTCTCTCTCTCCAGTAACCCCCCCCCCCTCTACCCCTCCACCCAGTTAATACGTTCGTTCTTTCTTTATCTTACAAACTTGTAGTTTAATACACCATTACGATTATAAGTTGTGTGTTGTTGGCTACGTACGAGAGACTTTTTACATATACATACATATATATATATATATATATGTACATACATATTACTTATTGCAAAATGATGATTATTTTGTCTATTTCTTTTTAAAGTTTTCTTATTCTTTTGGTTTCTTTTTAACCAAGGAAGAGTTTCTTTTACGCTCTCGAACACCAGTAGTTTTCTTTTCCTATCGTTGACGTTTCCGTCACTCCTTCGATTATTCTTATTTTTCTTCTTTTTTCCATTGGGTTTTGAGTACGTTACCAATCGACATGGCATAGAATGAATGATGGGTATAGTAAATGACGATGATTGTTATTGAGTCTTGGGTTAAGTTGAATGGGGTGAAGTGGGTAAGGAAAGGGGAGTGTATATCGGTAACTTTAATACACGTCGACACGTGATCCGCGATCGTTCACGCAAGTCGACCGTTAACATTTTTTATTATTTATGTATAATAGTGTTTAAGATAAGAATGATTAATTAATGTAACGGATTGAATTGTTGTTCATATGGTTTGTGATCTTTGATTAAAAAGTATATATATATATATATATGTTTTTTATTATTTTTTTTTTTTTATATATATTGTATATATGATGATGATATGTAATAAGTGTAGGTGATAATTATAATAATATATTATAAAAGATAATAAAGATGACTTGTAATATGAACGATGAGTATGTTATGACACCTGTTTGATTACTATTATACAATAGAAGTAATATACATGAGATGTTTTTTTGTTGTAATCGAGTACTCATCGTACATATGTTCGTTTTATCTTGTTAATTTGATTATTTATTGTTGTATTAATAAATATCTGTTATAATAATATTTATGCGAGTTTGATTTGTAATTAGATAGTTTATTTGTGGAAATATTATTTATATCGAATTATTTTTTGGAAATTGTCAATCATTGTTATCTGGGAGATGGATTTGAATTGGAAACAGGTAAATAGTAATTATTTAATTGACACATATAAATATATATTTTTATAATTATTATATATATTAATATTATATATATATATATTATAATTATATATATATTATAATATTTAATATAATATATGTATATTGTTTTAATATATTTTTTTTTTATATATTGTTATAATTTTATTTTATAAAAATAAAAAAAAATATATATAATTATATATATTACATATATGTTCTATCTAATTATTATTTGCAGTTATTATATAGAAATATATATAACTTATAATTATCGTGTTATATATATTATATAATTATGTATATAGATAAACGAAAGTAATTAGAGATTGCAAAGTATAGAAAGGAAACAAATGGTTGATTAAAACTATTAACACTAAATAATATATCAAATAATAAAAATATCAATTTGATCATAATCAAATCTCTTCTTTTTTTAGGGATTCCCTCGTCAATCTCCAAATAAAAACTTATACAAAATATTTTCATTTCTAGATATCATCTCATACGAAATATCATTTTGATTAATGTAAATAAATAAAAAAAAAAATAAAAAGGAATGGATAGATCGATAGATCGATATAGATCGGTATCTTATGAAACATACGTGACCAATGGGTTAACATAGAAATAAAATGAATTGAATTGAATCGAAACGAAACGAAACGAAATGAAATGAAATGAAATGAAATGAAATGAAATGAAATGAAATGAAAGGAAAGGAAAAAGAGAAGGAAAGAAGATTCGAAGGAAGTAACGAAGGATGGATGGGAAAGGTGGAAAGGAAGGATGGGGTTTGGTGGTGAGGGACGGACAGACGAATGGCCGGGTAACCTAGATCGGTTCAGTCCAATCCGATCTGACGGAGAGACTTTACCAGCCAGTACCGTCGCAACCGTCGAACGTGATTCCAACATTTCATAGATACCTTTCCAAACACGTTTTCTCTACAAATAGTTTTATACTATCTCTCGTGGGGTGTTTTACTTATTTCTTTTGATATATTTTACTGGATTCCAAAATAATAACAAAGATATAGAAGATCTCAAATATTATTCACAAATATAAGAGGAAAAATTCAATGACACACTGTTAATACAAAAAAAAAAAAAAAATAAAACCAAGAAAAAAGTGAGTACAAACTGTAGAAAACATTTTTTTTTTCTGTACAAACAATTTCAAATATTTGATAATTAATCTATCGAATTTATCAATGATTTATCTTCATCTATACGATTAATATTATATAATAATATTAATAATGTATTATGTATATATTGTTATCTAACGAGATAAGGTTGAATTATTTCATGAGTTGAAAATATTTGAACAATTCAAATTGAATATGTTAATAATTAATCAAGTTCAATATCATTTGTGTAAGAAAGATCACGGTAATTGCAACACACGGTACGTAACACACCTTTCGAAATGAGATATGCAATTGTCCTACCTAAATTAATTTTCGATTGGTTGGACATGTAGCTAGAGAGAAAGAGAGAGAGAGAGAGAGAGAGAGAGAGAGAGAGAAAGAAAGAAATCAAACAAAACAGGTGTGTGTTTTATAGAAAAAAAAAAAAAAAAAGGAAACGAACAAACTCAAGAAAATCATCGTAAAAACAAACAAATTCTTCGTTTGAAAGAAAATTGTTATTATTTTTTTTTCTTTTTTTTATTGGAAAAGAAAGAAAAGAGAGAGAGAGAGAGAGAAAAAAAAAACATTCGTTTCAAGAAGAATGTCCTTGGTAAGAATAAAATATAAAAAGATGACGATTGCAGTATGGTGGTTAGTTGCAATTTTAGCATTGACTGGCGAGTTCAATGCCGTTCAATCGTCAACAATGTCCTTGAACTTGAACGATACCTCGGAAAATAATACGGTAAACGAAATATATGACGTAATCACGGACGATCATCCTCACGAGATTAACGATAAACCGAGTAAATTTGATATGGACATAGATCATATTACAATGACCGATGATAAATCGAGTTATCAAATCGAATCATCTAACATGGATAATTCGACGAGAAGTTCGATTAATGATAAAAAATCATCATCATCATCATCATCATCGTCATCATCATCAGCATCATCAGCATCCGTATCATCAGCATCATCGTGTGATGAAAATCATTGTGAAATTGATCAAAAATATTTGGTTAAAAATATTTTGGACAAATTATCAAAGATAGACGAATACAACGTGACGGATAACGTGCAAATAGTGCGAAGTGAAATTGCAATGAAAAATAAATCGAATGTTGATAAAGATAGGAAGTCAGATAAGAAATTTGATCTGATAGATGAGCTTCATCGATATGCGAAAGAACACGTGGTTAGAGTCAAGGTCGATCCAAATGCTATAACCGGTAGAAAGGGTAGAACCTTCTTTGATGGTGAGTGTAACAACATACACATACATACACACATAATATACACGTTGATAGAGTGCACCTATCTGTTTGTCTGTTAAAATACTGAGAGAAAAAGAGAGAGAAAGAGAGTGAGAGAGAGAGAGAGAGAAAGAGAGTGAGAGAGAGAGAGAGAGATTGAATGCTCGGGTAAAAGGTATATTACTATTTCATGCTCGTACACTATGTGGGCATTCAGACCGTAAAAGTGTGTTTTACAGACGAATACTTGGGAAGTTCTTTAAACTCGGTTGGGAATGTTTATTAGCATGAGAGAAACGGGTGTAATGTTCAATGTTTAACACGTTCAATACGAAATTGTGTACGATCAATGTAGAAACACGTAACACATAAATTGAACAGGGTTTGTTTCAATAATGGTTAAATGCATGATTGTTTCATAAAACGTTTTTCGTATAACACTCTAATCTCATATACAATTATTATATAATATTATATACATATAATATATAGTATATATAATTTATTAATATAATAAATGTAATGTTAGTATATATAAATTACGTGTCACGTTGTTTGTACGCAATGGACTCCTAAACTACTAAACCGATTTGAATAAAATTTTGCACACTGTGTGCAATTTCATCCAACTTGAAAGATAGGATAGTTTATATCTCTTAGTTTATAACAGATGGCGGTGTAAGGTAATTCGTTGACTTAAATACGCGTGTATCGGACTGATTGTGAGCCACATCAACGCGTGGCGGAGCACCCCTAGTGAAAAAAATAGTATAAAAATAATAATAGATAAAATATTATATATTACATAAAAAAAATTAAAAAATCAAACAATTTCGTACCGAACGTGTTAACAATGTTTCATTGAATAGTTTTTTTTTTTTTTTTTTAGAATAAAATTGCAAAATAAAACACGCATTAATTATTTAATTTGGCTTTTTTTTTTTTATGGGTTATAATAAAATTCGGCTTAACGTAGGGGATAATAATTGGCATAACGGAGATTGCTTTAGATGGGTGTTGAAAAAATTGTTGAATAATTCTGCGTTTGGAGATGAGACGAAAGTAGGGGAAGCATAGAGAAGGAAAATATAAAATGAAGTGAGGAGGAGAAGAAGGAGGTGGAGAAGAAGGAATGATAATCCAAAGCTGATTTTGCGGCATGGCTAACAGGACTAACTTGGCAGGCTTTAATCGGCTGGTACTTTTGCTTTCAGCCCTCTTTCAGGGAAAGAGTTCCTTTTTAACAGGATTCGGACTTGGTTTTCTAGCATTTGGCCTGAAGAAGCTCTTGTTACCACTGTTCTTTGGCGTGCAAATACTTAAAAGCGTATTACTAGCATTATTCTTACCGAGCATTATTGGAAGTATTGGTAATATCGTTGGAAAAGGTAAGAATTTTCTAATTTAATTAATTATAATAACAATAATAATTATAATAATCTGTGATCATTGATTAGAACAAAATTTAGAATATTTAATTGACCAAAAATACCAAAAGACACGTGCATTGAAATGGGGTTTGAAATTTAAATTGAAAATTGCATCATAAATGGATTGAAATTCGGTTAGGTTTTTTGTAAAATTAATTTGTAAAATATTAATAAAAATAAAAAATAAATATTAATACAAATTAAATCACAAAAAAATGCACGAACTTTTTGGTTCACCCTAATCGTTGCATTGATAAAAATCGAATGGTTTAAAGAAAAGATATTAAATAGGGAAAGATATTTTTTATTCGGTGACATTTTTTTTTCTTTGCTTTTTTTTTTCTCAGGTGTATCGTCATTTACGCAATCGTCTCAAACAGCAACCGTAGCACCCGAGGAAAATTTCGAATTTAAGGACAATACGGATTTGTACAACGATGATTATTTGACACGACAACCAGTCGGAACTCTACCAGCTTCCACGTTGTACGATGAAAATATGATGCAGTCTCAAAAAAATCCTGAAATAGCTTCTAGATATTCGTTCGTTGATCCTTCATACGCCAATAATGCTAATACGATATCAAATCGTTATTATATGAGACACGCGGCACAAGGTTTCACGAAGAAACAGGATTTCAAGGCGAGTGATTAATTACGCTTAATTTTTTGTTTTTTTTTTTTTATTTTCTTTTTTCATTCGATCAGACTCATACTATTAAAAAATTGTCATCAATCAGAATCAGATCTCAAAAAAAAAAAAAAAAGAAAAAAGAATAGAAGAAGGAGAAAAAAAAAAAAAAAAAAAAAAGAAAAAAGAATAGAAGAAGGAGAAATTAGAATACAAGACGTTGTTACCGGTCAATAAATTCATGTTGATGATGATGATGATGATGATAATAAAGGATAGCCGAGTTGTTAACTTGATGATTAATAACAAGTGTTACAATCTTTAGAAAGATTGAAAATTGCTTCGTAATGCTTACGACAGTTACCGTTAGGCACATTTAAAATACATCCTCGTGTTATTTATCTCATAATTTTGTTAAACATTATTTTTCACTAAACTGTTTGATGTTTCATTTCGATATCATCCAATCAATATAATGTTCGTGAATACTAATTGACTTGTTGTAGATACGTATCCGGCTTCTTTTTCTTTTTTTCTTCTTTTTTTTTTTATTAATTCTGGGTTGAGACACAGGTATTACACGTGTGTTCCACTTTAACAAAATATATTGAATATCTTTCTTCTTCTTCTTCTTCTTTTTTTTTTTTTCTTTTTATTTTCAATTATATATATATCAATATTTTTCTCGTCCATCATTAATTTTGTTCTCCATTTTTTATTTATGCATATAAAAATTACTACTTCAGGTTTTTCTAACTAATGGTGTACAATATAATTGAATTAATTTGTTGTTGTTGTTTTTTTTTTCTAATTTTTATTTTAATTGACACATAACTGTGTTGAGAACAGGTATTTCACGAGATTCCAACAAGCTCGTTGCTCCTGACGAATTACGACCCTTTCTACTCGCCATTATTATCACGATTGGATGCTGTATTCTATCGACTGGGTCATACCACAGAAGGTTGCAGAGAATATGCAGTTTGTGCTATGTACAGAAGTCCTGCAAGATATGCACCTTATTCTAATCTCGTATCGGCACAATTATCGAGAGAATTAAACGAATTGAGAAAACCAGCGAGCGATAATCCAGACGTATTGAGATTTTTCCGTTATATGAAGGCAGCTAAAGATGGTCAAGATGGTATCAATTGTGAGGATGATTATAACAATTGTCCAACTGCTAGGGAAGATCAAAGTCTTAAACAAAATCAAGCTATGCTTGCTACGTATCAGGATATCGATAAACTCGTACACGCTAGAAAACTTTGAAACTTTGATCAAAAATTAGAAACAATGTTAGAAGAGTTATTATTTATTTTAAACAAATTAAAAAAAAAAAAAAAACAAAAAGAAATCATTTTTTTTTTCTTAACCCTTTCAGTGCTAAATACTTTGAACTAAAATGTTTTGTATGAACGAAATCATTTATTATTAACTAGATTCTCTAATAATACAAAAATTATATTTAATAATTAAAGTTTTTATTTCTAAATATCATTTAATATATATATAATTATATATAGCACTTGAAGGGTTAATTAAAATATAACTGAGAGATTTATATATTTCTTAATGAAAAAAAAAAAAAAAACAGACAAACAAACAAACAAACAAACAAAACTGAAATCAGGTAACCTAGGATGATTTAAGATGACGTTAATTGCAAAAAATAAAAGAAGATTACGTCAAATTACATTCTACGGATAGGATTAGTTTCATCGTTAGATATAATCAAGGCCGTGTGATTAGGAGGCGATCTAACAGAACTTATTATACATTCGTCGTTCATGTTTGTAAATTTAAAAGATACTTCATTTTTTGTTTTTATTTATTTTTATGTAAAAAAAAAAATCTTTCAAAACGTTTCTCTTGACACATTGATTTCTTGAAAAGAACGAACTGTTCTAATAGGTTGATGATCGTTACTATATTTACAGATGACATCGTTACAATAACCCGTTATCTGTATGCGGTATTGTGCGATCCTTTACAGTAACAGGAAAACAGTTTCCGGATCTATTATAATAAGTATCTTCTTTTGAAAGATAAATACTACGTTCGCGATATTTTCTTGTTTTTTTTTTGTTTTTTTTTTTCATTACAATAAAAAAATGATTAGATTAATTATTTTTTGTGGTACGGACGACAAAAAGTGATGAACTCGATTATTAAAGTATTTTTTTATTTTTATTTTGGTTTTCTTTTGTAAAAATACCGCGAATGTCTCGACAAACTCGATATTTCATTTATTATTTACTTTTGAATTATTTATTATATTTTGTTATTTGTTTTCTAACATAAATTAGATTTATTTCGATTTATTTTAGTGATATTTTTATTAGAAATTTTATATCGAACATTTTATTTGAATTCAAATTTTATTTGAATCATTTTAAGGGAATACAATTCGATTAAATTCGATTTTGTATTTTTACAATATGTTTTATAATCGAAATAAATATTGTTTTTTTTTTTTTTTTGTATAATAATATAATTTTGATCGTTAAAACATTAAATAATTGATTTTATATGATCATGCATAATTTTATTGTTTTTTTTTTTTCTTAATGGAATATAATTAATCTTGCAAAATTACTCGAGAAAAAAATTATTACGATGATCATTGTTCTAATGTAAGTTTGACTAATTGTTATTTATTTATTAACAAATAATAAAACATACGACGTGGGTGCACGGTTGTGTGTGCTTGATAAACGAATATCAATTTACAATTAGTTCATTTTAATAAGAATTAGATTTAATTTCTGTTTTGTGTGATGTTATTAATGTGTGTGTGTATTACGTTTTAATTATCACACGTAAGATCAACATTTGAATGGATGTACAGGTATACTAATTAATTGTACAGTTTAAGTTGAATTAGAATACGTTGATTTTTCTGTTTTTTTTTTTTTTTTTTTTTTTAATTTAAATTCCAAATTTTTACAATTCAATTTATAAATAATTTGTATATTGTCTCATTTGTGTTTTGATTTGATGATAAATAAAAATGAAATTAATGATCGAATTGTTTTCGATCAATGATATTGTTTTGTTTAAGTTGTTAATTATTCAAGATGTTATCTATGAATGAAATATTTATAATGAAAATAAAATCTAACTGGATGAAAATATAATATGAAATTAAATGCATTGTTAAATAATGGAAATAGAAATTTACAACGAATGTTTATTGTTTAGATATACACACAATTCAATTTTATATAATTAATATGAGATTAGTCGTTTAGATTTTTCATTTACACAATATGTGTACAATATTATTTTATTTTATTTTATTGTGTTATATAGAAAATATTTTTATGTGTGTGTGTGTGTGATCCTTTGTTATATTATATAATATATAAAATTTATATATTAATATATATTATATTAGTATATATATTATATATTATATAAATTAACAAACATATTATATGATTACTATCGTTAAACTATTTGCTATTAATTGAGTTTTCAAAAATTTCTTAATATCGTTCAAATTATTTTACAATATTTCAATTAACAATTCCATAATATTGTGTCTCGATTCATCCTTTGACAAACAAAATCTAATTTTGTATATTATTATTTTTTTTTCTCCAAACAAATATATAATTCCATAAGATAAATAATATGAAATTAAACATACAGAGGTTGTTAACAAAAAAAAAACAAAATATATAAAAATGAATTATTAATTTGAAAAAAAAAAAAGAAAAAAAAGAATACTTGTGTTTTTAAAATGAAAACATTTCTATTGTTTTTCAATGTAATGTTATTTTTTCTTCTTCTTATTTTCTATAAAAATATATCGACGATATATTTAAATAAGTTGAAAGAAAAAAAGATTCTTTTTTTTTTTTTTTTTAAACAGAATATAATTATAAACAATGTGTTCAAATAATATTTACGTAAGAGGAGGGGAATGGGGGGGGGCGGGTTGGGGTCGATGATGACGCATACGTTGAACATCAAGTTGCGTAAAGGAAAGTTTGTGTATTTCACTCTTCGTCTTCTTCTTCTTTTCTAATAAGATCTCTCGTATCTCCTCATAGGAGGTTCCGGTCCTATATCCGGGGTCACTTTCACTTTTCAATATTTTTTTTAATACTTCATTTTTATTCTTCTCTTACGTCCTACGGATTCTTCCCTCTCCTTAAAACTGGACCGCACTGACGTATAAATGCAACAGCCACTCACCGGCTCACATGTTGAATTCATTTTGCTTCCTATCAGTACACATCTCATTTTATTTGTTTTATTTTATTATTATTATTATTGTTAAATATATCAAATTCAATGGTAAGTTATAATAATCATAATTATTTATTAATATAATTAATATATAATTGTAATAAAGTATATTATTTGAATAACCGATATATTTTTGTTATTATCGTTAAATATATCAAATTTACAATGATAAGTTATACGATCAAAGTTATTATTTAAATTATTATAATTATAGTGCAGTAATATTATTTGAACAAACAATATTTAAAGAATTTTACGATTTGTACAATTTTTTTTATTACTTTTATTTTTATTTTTATTTTTTATTATTAATAATTTAAACGTTTGATGATCAACAACATTCAATTGTTTTACGTGTGATATGTTTCAATGATGATTTTTAAATTATGATTTTTAAAATTGTTATTAATTGTTATCAAACGGATAGATTTTTATTTGTTTAAATTTAATACAATGATGAAGATTTTATTTAAATAACAGTAGTGCCAATTTAATTTCATCCTTTTTTGCAACGATGCGTTATACGATTTATTACTAGATAAAAGGTAACTAGACGTACTGGCGCCATTTTGAAAATAATATTAACAATTTAATTATTGTTTTATTTATCTAACAAATTTAAAATAATATATATATATATAATTAAAAAATGTAACGATAAAATTCTTCTAATTTCGTGGTTTGATAATGGATGTGATAAATAATTGATAATTGTGTAAACAAATTGAATAATAATTGAAATTCATTTACAAAATTGAATTCCTAAAGAACGAACATATATATTATATAAATAAATATATCTTTTCAATTAATTTGAAAATAATTGAATTTGTGTTAAAATGTCGATAACCTTGTTGATATTTATTCAAAGTGAACGACACCAAATGTATTTCAATGCGTATCGTCAGGTGTGCGTACGTGAGAACTTGCACCGGCATTATTTACCGTGATCATCCTGACATTCTGATTGGTCCTTTAGGACTAACGGCACTTACAAGACTCACAGCGAATAGTCCGAGTCTTTCCTTCGTGACTAACACGTTCGTTTTACAGTGAAAGATTTGTAAGAAACACGAAACTTAGTGATTCGAAGTTTGTGGACACTATGCCGATTCAAATGTATTGTGTATGACGTTAGTTTATAACAAAAAATCTCAATTAAAACACGTAAGAGTTTAATTCGATACTTTTCTTATATTTTGATTTTTAATCTTTTTTGAAATCAATTAAAAAAAAAAAAACAAAAAAGAAAAGAACAAAATGAGAAAGTTTCATCGGATGATATATAACAAATTGTTGTTTAAGTTTATTACGAGATTAGTGTCATTTGTTTAATTATTATTACGTTAAATTTATCATGAAAATGTTTTTTTTTTTTTT